CCGGCCGCCCCCGCCCGCGTGTGCGCCCCAGCCGGGACGCCGCCCCCGGCCGGGTCTCCACTTCTCGGCCGCACCTCCCATGACAGCGCCCGCGCGAAGATGGCTGCGAAGGGCGCGCACGGCTCCCACCTGAAGATGGAGAGCGAGCTGGAGCGCTGCCGCGCGGAGGGCCACTGGGACCGCATGCCCGAGCTGGTCCGGCAGCTGCAGACGCTGGTCATGCCCGGCGGCGGGGGCAACCGGCGAACCAGCCCGAGCGCCGTGTTCACCTCTCTGGACACGGGTGAGTGAGGGAAGTGCTGGCTTCCGAGCACCCGGCGCGCGAAACGCGCCTCCTCCTCCAGGAAGCGGGCCCCGACTGCCCCCCGGGCCGGCGACGGCCGCCTTCGGTATTACCCTTCCTGTAGTGCTGGTTGTAGGAGCAATCAGGGTAATTAGGAAGGTTCTTATGCCCCAGGAGAAAAACCACATGCAGGTTTGGGCGCTTTGGGGGAGAGAGAGAGAAACGGCTCTCGCTCCCTGCCCTTTGGGATCATGTGGGCAACTCGGTCTACTGTGAAATGGTGGTATCGGCACGAATCAGCCCAGGGCAAGGGCTGGATTCTTGCGCCATCCCTCCACCCCGCCCCCGGTCCCGCAACTCCACCAGGTGAAGGCTATTTGTCTCTGCTTGCCGTCCCCTCCTTCCCCCCGCCCCCGAGTCCAGTTGACAACGGTGCTCTGTCCACAGCAGACAGGGTTGCATTGGCGAGCGCGCGTTGGGGGGGGGGGGGGTGAAGTGGGAAAGAGGCCTGGTAAGCCTCAGTTTCCTCATCTGTGGTCGGACTCGGGACCCATCTAGCCCTGGCACTCGGTGGCCTTGGCGGTAGGTCTGGTTTGGCTGGGCTGGGCTCTTATAACTGGGGCGGGAAAGCACCCTGATGTGGCAGTCTGGGAACACCCCGCCCCAGTCTCCAGCCTCAAATCCTGTTCTGGTGCCCACAGCTCAGCCTGGAGAGCCTCCCCTGAGCCCTCTTTGTGCACCACCCCTTTAGAGCCTTGTGGAAGGAGGCAAGGAGTCAGTGAATGCAGATATGAAGAGGTTTAAAGACTGCCCAGCCTGTGGAATCATCATCATAATAATAGTCATAGCTAACACTTACCCAGCACTCACTGTGTGCCAGGCATTGTCCTACTAAGCACTTCAGTCAACTCATTAATTCCTCCCAGCAACCCCATGAAGCAGGCACTCTTGTTTGCCCCACTTGCAAATAATGGAAACAGAGACCCTGAGAAGTTAAATAACTTGATCATCCAGTCAATAAGTGGTAGAAGCAGGATCTGAACCCAGGCTTCTGAGTATATCCTTTTAACCACTCGCACTGTTACCTCTTAATGATGTGTAGCACAAAATCCCAGCCTGAGGAGTTGCCTAAAGGGATGGCGGGGCAGAGAGGTGACCAGAGGGCAATCGTGTGGTAGATGGAGGAGCTCAGAGGAAAAGGAGTTTTGGGGAAGCAGCAGAATATGTGCTGGCCTCAGGCTGGTATTGGGAAGGGCAGAGTGTGTTTGCCCAATGAGGAGGGAGGATAGAAGGACACTGAGGGGGGTAGGGTGACAGAGACGGGCGGACAATCAGGTTGGGGCTTTGAGATCAGTCTGAGCATGGCAGTGAGGGGGAGTGGCCAGAGCTAAAGGGAGAAGCAGGTGAACCCTCCTCTCCCAGGGCAGAATAGAGAGATTGCAGGTGCTTCTTCTGTCCCCCGTGAGGGGCAATGTAGTGGGGTGGGGCTTCTGAGGGTGGGAATGGAAACGGACCCACACAAAGAGCACTGGGGCCTGGGTAAGTTATGGGAATCTGAGTAAGTTTGGCCCCACAGAGGAACATGCTGGGCCAAGACAGGAACCTGACCTCCTCAAATTCATATGGGTCTGTATTTCCTAAACAGCTTTTTAGAGGTCTCAAGGAGATTACAAAGTTAATTGGTATCCCAAGAAGAAAGAACTTAGGGAGCCCAAAAAGTAAAGAAACTGGACCTAATAGATTCAATAGTGGTAAACAGACTTTTTTTTTAAACTGTAGGACTTTTCAGAGCCTTTATGTTTATTTATTTATTTTTTTAAAGATTTTAGTTATTTATTTGAGAGAGAGAGAGAATGAGTGAGAGCACGAGTGGAAGAAGGGGCGAGGGAGAAGCAGACTCCCCGCCAAGCAGGGAGCCCGATTTGGGGCTTGATCCCAGGTCCCTGGGATCACAACACAAACTGAAGGCAGACGCTTAACCGACTGAGCCACCCAGGCGCCCCTTCAGAGCCTTTAATATGTTCACTTGCCTATGATGTACAAGCCAAGGTTGGAGTATAAATAGCACATTTTTCAAACTTGCCTTGACCATATTCTATGAAGCATTATTGGGAAACACTGATATGATACAGTTTATAAATGGTATGGTATGGTTATAAAATGCTTTCCCTATTTTTTTTAAATTCTTGTAAACAACCTTATGGGGAGAGCAGGAGTTATTGTCTCCATTTTAGACATCAGGACACCAAGGCCCAAAGAGGTCGCATAATGTGTATGTGGCAAAGCCTGTATGCAAGCCTCAGTTCCTGCCACCAAGTCTACTACTAGGGAAGGTGGGGGCGGGGCATGAGGCCCCTGGCTTGGCTTCACTGTGGGGACTGCCTGGCACAAGGAGGGAGACTGAGGGGTGCAGTGGGGTCTCTTCTGCCAACTTTTGAGTTTGGTTCTGCAAATGCTTTTTCTCCCACTGTTAAATCTGGATACACTATCCCAACGCACACGCAGGCACACACACAGATGCACACGAGGAAGGAAAATAAATGACTCCCAAACCTATGCGTAGAGCATTTTTTGGATTGTCTGCTATTTTGATTCTCTCCTCAGGGTTCCTTGATCACCCGAGGGATTGAGGGCCTGTTTTTTTGGAGCAGTATAGCACTGACCCCCTTCAACCCAGGAGGGAGATTCTTATTGTACAACTTGGCCTATTAGACTCTTACAGTCAGTGTCCAGAAGCTTCAACAGTACCTATGTGGGGAGAGGAGAGGGAACGTATTGAGAGGGGGAGCCAAACCCCAGTTGAACCCCATTTTACAAACTGAGGCCCTGAGCCCTGCTTGTATCTGCAGGGTTTCCTACAGAAACTAAAAACCACTCCCAGACCATCTATTTCAGTCCAGGGGGCAGGAGGGGAGGACCCTCTGGGGGGTCCTCTTTGGGGTCTGGTGAGAGTGAAGGGTCAGGAGATGCTCAGGCAGAGGGGCCCTTCCCCCCTCTTCTCTGGGGAGGCTGCTCCTGCCCAGGGGGAAGATAGTTGCCACTGTTTGTACATTTTCTCTCAAACGCATCCGGTTTAGATTTGGTCAGGATGGAGCAGGGGAACCCCAGAGTGTGGCTGGCTGTGATGGACTTGGTTCATGTAAAAACAAAGAACACATCCAAGTGGTTAAAGAAAAAGAAATGAATACTATGAAAAATTTCCAAAACCTCAGAAAAGCAGAACAATGAATACCATGTATCCATTAACCAGCGTCAGTGGTTATGAACTCAAGAATGATCTTGTTTGAGCTACACCCCAACCTATCCCCGCCCCCCGCACTGAATACTGAAGTAGGTACTTATTAATAAGAACTCTTTTTTTCTTTCAGTTGCGAAGAGATTTTTTTTTTTTTTTATTTGAGAGAAAGAGAGAGAGACAGAGAAACAGCATGAGAGGGCAGAGGGTCAGAGGGAGAAGCAGGCTCCCTGCTGAGCCGGGAGCCCGATGTGGGACTCGATCCCAGGACTCCGGGATCATGACCTCAGCCGAAGGCAGTTGCTTAACCAACTGAGCCACCTGGGCGCCCGCGAAGAGATTTATTTACAGTAGTGTGTAAGCACATACATAAAGAAGTGGTGACCATGAGGAGCCAGTGCGGGATCCTTAAAAAAAAAGTCATTTTTCTTAATTAAGATCAGAGATCTGTTACATTAAAGGAATTCTAAAGAGAAATTAGGATTTCAGTAAGTCAGAATGTCATGGACAAGATGATTTTGTGTGAGATGGGATGATGGTTTAGATAGTGGGTTGAAATTTCTTTCTCTCTCTCTCTCTTTTTTTTTTTTTTGCAGTTTTCTATTTTTATGTAATCCATTGTATAATCCTTTCTTTTTTGGCCAAATAAGATCTCTTTTGAAAAAACAAAACCATAATGCCATTATCACACACACCACCCCCCAATTTTAATGATTTAATTTTACAGTTCATTTGCTACAATTGGGAATCCTACACATTGCATTTGCCTGGTAGTTTGGGTGTCTCTTTTCTCCCCCAGTATTTTTTTTTTTTTTAAAGATTTTATTTACTTATTCATGAGAGAGAGAGAGGCAGAGGGAGAAGCAGACTTCCCGCAGAGCGGGGAGCCCGATGCGGGACTCGATCCCAGGACTCCGGGATCATGACCTGAGCCGAAGGCAGACGCTTAACCATCTGAGCCACCCAGGCGCCCTCCCCCAGTATTTTTTTTATGAAAATTTCAAACATTCAGCAAAATTAAACTATACTTACTTTATCACACGTCTGCTCTTCTATTTATCCATCCATCTAGAGTCTCTTAATCTGTAGTCACCCCCATCTTTTTTTTTTTTAACTAAATGATTTTTTTTTTTTTCCTCAACTGGAGATTGTTTTGAGCATTTCTTCAGTTGGAGTTAGAGGGGGTGTATTCGAGGCAGGTGGCCTCTCACTAGTTTTGGCCTCTTCCTCCTCTCTCTCTGGTTAGAAGCTCCCAGCCCTCTGCGGTCCTGTGTGGTAAGCAGCTGCAGAGACCACTGTGTCCCCATTTGACTTTGTGGGGAAGGGCGTACCTGGCCGGCCCCAGGTTTCTGACTGCGGATCAGCAGGCTGTGGAGAGGGGGCTCCGCCCTGCAAATGTGGTTTCTGGGGAAGGGGCAGGTATCTTTGAAGTGGGTCCCTGTGACCTGGCACCCTGAGAGCAGATGGGAAGCTAGCTGCCAGAGGCCTTCAAAACCAGGTGGGTCGGGAGTCTGAGGGGACATTCAGTGGTGGCCTCCTCTGGGCCTCTGCCCAGGGCAGGGGGCTGGGCTGGGCTGCACGAATCCGTGCTCAGGCTTCCAGAATCTGTTTCACTGTCAGGAAAGTCTTCCTAATGCCTCTTGGGAGGGGAGAAGCTGGAACACTTTACCCAAATCAGGATAGGGAGTAGGTTTCAGACAAGATGATAAAAAACCATGTTTTACCTTCAGAGAAGGAAGAACAAGAAAGCCTCGAATCCATTTGGATTCTTATTGAACAACTGGAAATCTAGAACTTTTAATTCTAAAATAGTCTTCGGTCCCATAGATTGGCCAGTTGGGAATGGTGGGATGGCCAGAAGAAGGGGAAGGAAGGCAGAGTAGAGAGGGAAGCGATGTGGGCAAGGAAGAAAAGAAAGGCAGTTCAGTTCCCAACACCTACTGAATGTCTGCTAAACCAAACACAGACCCTGGGTCAGGGGTGAAGGGGCGGGGCGCAAAAAGGCTTGAGAAAGACCGGAAGTGTTAATTTATAGAACAGTCTGAAACTCACAAGTATGTGACAGTAGGAACAATTCTTATCCCTGCCCTTGGAATTGCTATTGGAATTCCTATTTGAGAGTCCTATTACTTGGAATTACTATTACCCTTGAATGTACGGTTTACAGCCCTTAGACTTCTTTATTTCTAAACTACCGGAAGCTCTGCTCTGCATGGGATGCAGGAGAGACAGCCTGTCCGGTGGCTATGTCGTGGAATGTGGTATTTTGTTGTTTGGGCTGGGACCATAGCAATATTGCATATCTTTATTACCGTCTATAAAATGGGAGTAATATCTACCTTTTAGGGCCGTGCAGATTAAAGAATACTGTATAATAAAGTACTTGGTGCTCAGTAGGCCCTCAGCAAATATTGACCCCTCTTTTGCAGTAAAAGGGGTCCGGGCAGTGCTTCTCAAGCGATATGTGGTGAGGGATGACTTTCATGTTTTGTTGTGTTTTTTTTAATTCCCAATTTGTTGGGCTCTGATACTTTTGTAAGATACACAAACTGCGGCCTCTCAGCTTTTTTTTTATTATTCAAGTCAGCAGATTCAAAATTATTTTGTCACATTATTATCAATTGGGTGACAGACACAGACCCACCACAGTCCACCGACCACACTTTGAGCAGCTCGTGTTCAGAGGACACGCCCCTTCTTTTGAGGAGAGGTGTGTGCCCTGGGGAATATTTCCAGATTCAGGGTTGCTGGGAAGGAAGCTGGTTTCTCTGGGCTTGAAAGGAACAACAGAGCCAGGTCGTCTGGGGGGAGCTCCGCAGTCAGCAGTTGGGTGGGCCCAGTAGGGAGCTGCAGGTGAGCGAGGAACCAGCCCAGGAGGGACTATGGAGGGAGGGCCTCAGTTCCCTCAGAAGGAGCAGGTTCCTAACTCTACCTCTGGTTGAACAGGTGCAAACCCGGTTGGAGAGGGAGAGCCACTTGCCCTGTGGCCCACAGCTCGGGAATGCTGCTCAGGCCCCCAGCACTCAGCAGCCCAGCCCTCCTCCTAGCTGACATTTGGAAATGGAGAAGATTGCTTTTCATTCTTGTGTTGACTTGGATTTTATTTTTGACTAGATGATATATTCCCATGGGTCAGCCTTCCAAAGGGACCCAAAAGTAAAGAGGGAAAAGCCTCCCTCCGTCTCTGCCACCTTCCCCGTAAGCCAGAAAGGACATCGGATATGTATGTATCCTGTCACGTGTTTATACATAAACACACGTTTTGTGTCCACTGTGTGCACTCTGCTTTCTTACTGACTTGTCTTGGAGTTCATTCTTTAACAGCACAGACAGGGCTTCTCGTTCCTTTCTGTGGCAGCGCTATCCCTTTTTATGGAAGTGCTATGCTTTATTTAATCAGCCTCCTGTTGATGGACATAGAAGTTGTCTCTAATTTTCTGCTATTATAAAAAACGCTGCAGGAGTGACCTTACACACACATGCCAAGACCTCTGTAGCAGTGGGATTGCGGAGTCGATGGGGTGCACAAACATAATTTTTATATACGTCATCAAATCGCCCTTCCTAGAGGTGCCACCAACTTCTGCTCCACCAGTGATGGATGATAGCTTGGACAAAGTACTTTTTTGGCCATTTCCTCCAAATGTTAATTTTCAAAATCATGAGGGAGACCGCAAAGGATCACCGACAGGCTGTGGCATCCTCAGAGGGAAAACCTCCAGGGACTGTTCTCTGGGATCTGAGCTTTCGGGCTGTTCTCTGCGGGGAATCTCCTCTCTGCGGAGAGACTCTTCAGAGGCCTGCAATTTGGGGTCCATGGCTTTGAGTTGTGAGCAAACTGCAGTGGTCCTGAGAGCAAGGAGTGAGTGGCATTCCTGGGTGGGTTTAAGAATGCCATCCTGGCAAGTAGAAAGAGCTCTGTGAAGGCTGGGGACCAAGCAGACCTTCCCGGAGACATTTTGGGTTGGCACGTGACTCCCTGAGCCTCTTGGCTTCCTCACCCAGACGTGAAGAGGATCCAGTTCACTTGGCAGCTATTTGTTGGGCACTTCTGTTGAGTGGTGGGCCTGGTCCTCACCCTGGTTGCAGGGGAGGGGCAGCGAACCAGTCACACTGAGCACAGCCACCCAGGTGTGGTGGTGAAACCACACTCGACCTCAAAGCCCTGGGGATCCCACCCATTCCCCTGTCACCTCTGCTGTAGGTAGCAGGAATGTGGTGGTCCCAAGCCTGGAGTTTTTGGTGCTGTGTGGGGAGGGGTGGGGAGGTGGCAAATAGAACCAAACAGTACAAACTCCCCTTCCAAGCGGTGAGGTCTGGAGATGGGCTGACATATGTGTGAGAACTCCAGAGAGTGCCAGGACTAGGCATGTCCAAGGCTTTGCCCTGCTACACCACTACATCTGCTTCCCCTACGTTGCTAAGTTAGCCCTGGTTATGTTAAAATATCGTAAAAATGGAGAAAACCAACTATGGTTACACGGAAATTAGGAGCTCACAAAAATGCATTAAGCCATCTCCTATATTTTTCCTCTTGGGTTGTTTTGGGGGTGGAATTCCTTCTTGGTCTAAGAACTTATTACCCACAATGGGGCCTGGGTGTGACTTTGTCCCTCATTTTAAATTCTGAAATTCTGGGAATTTGTCCCAAGTCTGGGAACTTTGCCTCTCCAGCCACTAAACTGTAGAAAATAAACCCAAAGGGGCAATTTGTACTGTAAGCATGATAGAATGCCTGTGTTTTTTTTTTCTCTCAGGGCTGTTTAACTTTATGAAAACTGGGTCTTTATTTCTTTCTCCGACTTGGGCTGCTCGTGTGCTGGGGCAGGGGTGGCTGGGTGGCTTCAGGGACGTGGGCTAGTTTCAGGGGATCTGCCGTGTTCAGGGGATCCCTGCCCTGTTTTTCAGATGACTTTGGGAAGTTGCTCCTGGCCGAGGCCCTCCTGGAGCAGTGTTTGAAGGAGAACCACGCCAAGATAAAAGACTCCATCCCTTTGCCTGAGAAGAATGAGCCGAAGATGAATGAAGCCAGAAACCATCTGAGTAGTATCCTTAACCACGGGAGGCTGTCTGTAAGTGGTCAGCCCCCTCTGCTCCTCTCTCTCCTGCCTCCCATCTGCTGTCAAGCAGGGTCCCTGAGTCATCTGGTCATCTGAGCAGCAAGGCTCCCTTAGAGGTTGGCTTTGCACTGTTTAGGACAGTGGCCACCAGCCGCATGTGGTTCTCGAGCCCTTGAAATGGGGCCAGTCGAACCTGAGATGTGCTGTAAGTGTAAAACATACGTTGGAATCCGAAGACGTAGCACGAAATGAATGTTAAAGATGATTAATTCTTTATATTGATTATGTGTTCAGATGATAATATTTTGGATAGACTAGGTTAAATAATATATCTTATTAACATTAATTTCAGCTATTTTTGCCTTTTTATTTTATTTTTTAAAAATATTTCTTTTATTGGGGCGCCTGGGTGGCTCAGTCATTAAGTGTCTGCCTTCGGCTCAGGTCATGATCCCAGGGTCCTGGGATTGAGCCCCATATCGGGCTCCCTGCTCAGCGGGAAGCCTGCTTCTCCCTCTCCCACTCCCCCTGCTTGTGTTCCCTCTCTCGTTGTCTCTCTGTCTGTCGGATAAATAAATAAAATCTT